TCTTATATAATAATAATTAGGTCTCGGAATTTCAGTTTGAGAAACTGATGAGAAATATGTCCTCAAGTGAGCTCATGGCCTAGAACTATGAGCTAGATACGAATAAGAAATTATTATGACTTGGTATTGGTTGGAGGACAATATATTAAGGTTGAGTCAGAACTATAAATGTAACAGACTACAAGATTCCTTTTGCCAAAAAAGGAAAAATAATATTTCAAGTTATAAATTTCAGTAACACTTAATGAGTAATGTCATTAGCTAAAAGTGAATCTTACTATGTGCCAGGAACTTATAAACCATTTTTTGTGCATTTTATAATTTAATCCTCACAACAAGCCTATGATAGATAACATTATATTCCCCACTTCATAAATTACAGAAGTAACTGAGGCTTATAAAGGTTAAGTAATTTGCCCAAAATTATGCAGCTAATAAGTGGCAGAATCTGGATTACACCCAGCTAAAAAATAAATAAATAAATAAAAATGAAAATGAATCTTACTGACAGTAAAGCAAATTAATATAATCACTTTTCATTGAAAGTGTTTTTGCTATTTGTTCATATCATTTTACAATATTTTGCAGCATGTGAAAGCTTTAAAGATTTATGTAAACTTTTACTCAGAAGTCAACAAAGTTTTGCAAGAACCACACCTTACATTTGGTGTTTTGATGCTTTCTTGTCCAAGCAATGCCCATTTAGGGTATATTTTATGTAATACTATTTGATATTGATTTTAAAATTTAAAAAAGTCATGTTTCCTAGAACAGCATCTTTAATATTATTATGACTAGAAAACATTTTAACCACCATTTAAAAGAACATTATCCTCCAAATGAGGTCAATTTGTACACAAGTAGAAGAGCTATAGGTCCCTTGTCCCACTGTTCTGCTTTTCTGTCAAAGAGCTGGAAGTGGTTAAAAGAGACTATGTGATCTCTACCTATTGTTATCTACTTGCACAATAAACGGTAGGATATTTCAACTTTGTAAATGTAGAATTCAAAATCTACTTTTAATGTGAAAATACTTAGTTGGTCAATACACAAGGTTGAAATATGCCAGAGTGTATAACAATTTATTTATTTATTTATTTATTTATTTATTTATTTATTTATTTATTTATTTATTTATTTTTATTTCTTGAAGGAAAATACTCAATCTTAAATATAAAATATCCTATGATCACCTCAACCTAGAGCGTTCCCATATAAGGGTTACCGAGTCTAAGATTTAACTTCAGGAGGTAATGTGATATAAGTATATGACAGCAAAAAGACCAATAAAATAAAATAAAACACTTCTTCATTTAAGCTTCTGCATTTAATACCATCAATTAATATAAGTGTGATTTTAGAGCTATCGTATTAGTTGTTTTAAAATTAGAAAGCTTAACGTGTTGAATTGTGTGTGTTTTTAAACACACACACAACAAAACTGTAGAGAATATGAAATAAAAAAATAACATTTTAGGAGTTTAAAATGAAACAGAAGTCCAAGTGATAATGAATAAAGTATTCTATAATTAATAATACTAACAGCAGCTACCATTCCCTGGACACTTTATGTTAGGTTATTTAACTCTCCTCACCACAAACCCATAAATTAGAAATTTTTCAACTATTTCAAATGAAGTAAGTGAACTTTAAAGAGAAGTTCATATCTCAGTCCAAGATAACTTGGCTAATGAACTTTGGAGAAAAGTACAAGTCTAGTTCTCCTAGATATTAAAATATGTGTTTTACTACTGTCTATCATAGTTTTTTGAAATAACCTTCTCCCTATGTACTTGAGAGCACTAATGCAGGTAAGACTCAAAACTGTATTCAAGATTCCTAGTGATAAAGTTGATTACTGCTAAAGATAGTAAAACCAAACTGAAGGAATTTTTGATAACTTCTCATCAAACTGTAATGAGTGAGTAGTTAACTAATTTTTGGTTCTTCACTTCATTAGATGTTCATTAAATAATAACTGTCATTAATTGCGAGGATTGCATATGGTTGGTGGTAAAAACAACAGGGATATTAAATATTAATGGGTAGAGCAAGCATAAACCACAGAAAATAATGTAGGTTAATGAGAATTAAACCATGAGTAGTTACCTCATGGACCATTTCCTTTATTCTCATATTATTTATGATTACTGTCAAATAGATATCTCAAAGACCTACATAAGTGGAAGTGTAATTATTAAACTAGACATATAAGCATAATATGGTATAGCAAAAGAAGTTTGACTATTAATAACTAACCACCATCAGTTTTTAGGAACTAAACTAATAGAAAGAATATGGTAAGATAATCCCTGTTTGTATATCTGTTTTCTTATATATTTTCAATTTCCTCCTCTTGTACCAGTTATTTTACAAACATTTCAACATTAAGTGCTGTAAAGTAGATAAAAGAAATTAATAATTGTGGTAAAATATACTCAAATAATTTTAAGAATTTTAAATTTACCTGATGTTAAAGTGAGGAAATTAAGAATTTTAGATATATCTTTCTGAGTTAATTTACATCAAACTCTGATTTTCACCAGTGTATAATGTTATTCCAGATTTACAATTAAAATAGTTTATTTCCATTTTAAATTACCCACATGTTTTCTTAAAAAAAGCAAGTGATCTAAATCTGTTTTTTTTTTAATTCCTAGGATGGTAATTTCTCTTCTAAAAATTTATTCTCTGAAAATTGTTTGAAAATATTATATAATGACTTGCACAAAAACATACATACATATATTTATCACAAAGATTTTTATAATAATCAAAATTAGAAAACAGTGTGTCCAACAATAGATAAAAACACATCCATAATGAGACATGCCTTACATGAAATATAATGCAGCCCCTTGCAGCCAGATTTACAAAGAATTTGAAACATGAAAAAATATCAGCAATAATGTTATATGAATAAAAGAGGAGAATGGACTTCACCCACAGCAAGATTTGAACTTATAACATATGAATATATATAACACTACAATAAAATATGTTAAATGGTATATATAGTTCAACTGACTCAAGAATTTCAAATAATATGTTTCAATGTAAATGTACACAAAACTTGTCACTGACATTTTGTCATGCCAAGGCATCTGCAAAAATAAAAATAAAATTAGAACTAATAAGTGAGCATAAAAAGGTTTCAAGATACAAAATAAACACACAGAAACCAATTGCATATACCAGCAACTAACAATTGAACAGCAAAATGTAAAATACAATACCATTTACAACCTCTGAAAATTATGTAAAATACTTAAATATAAATCTAACAAACCATGTACATATTTTATATATTGAAAACTACATAACACTGATAAAATAATTTTTAAAAAAATCTATATAAATGGAGAAATACATATAAGCATATTATTATGTTTGTGGATTGGAAGACTTTGTATTGTTAAGATGTCAAATCTCCATATATATATATGTAGATAGGAAGATTCAACACAATTGCAAACAATATTGCAGAATGATGTTTTTATTTATTTATTTACTTTTAAATTATCTTTATTGTTGAAAATATTATAGATATTCCCTCCTTTTTTCCCCATTGATCCCCTCCATCCTGCATCCACCCTCCCCCAGGTCTTCATCAAAATATTGTCTGCATCCATAGGCTATGTATATATGCATATAAGTTCTCTGAGTAAACTCTCCCCACCCACTCCCTCACCCCCCCTTCCCACTGAGATTCATCAGTCTGTTCCATGCCTCTATATCTCTGGATCTATTTTGTTCCTCAGTCTATTTTGTTTGTTAGATTCCTCATATGAATGAGATCATGTAAAACTGAATCAGGAAGAATCAGAAAACCTGAATAGGCCAATAACAACTGATGAAATCAAAGCAGTAATAAATAAAAAAAACTCCCAACAAACAAAAGCCCTGGTCTGGATGGCTTCACAGGGGAGTTTTCTAATTCTTTAAGTTGTAGGGTTGCATAGTTTAATAAAAATATTTCTTCCTTTTTGAAGTAGGCCTGCAGTGCTATGAACTTCCTTCTTATGACTGCTTTTGCTCTGTCCCATAGATTTTGGGTTGTTGTGTGTTCATTTTCATTTGTTTCCAGCAAGTTTGTGTGTTTTTTTGAAAAGGATTAAAATGTATTTTAATAAGTTGATGCTGCATTACTGCTCCATTTTTTTCAGAAAAACTCCAAAGGTATCAGGGACAAATTAAACTTGGTACACCAATTTTTAAATTTTTTTTAAAGCACAGCATAACTACCTAAGATAGGCAAGGCTAAGAGCTACTGTTTGACAACCAGCGTACAGCAACCCTGTTCCCAAGACTGTGCTAGGCCTATCAAGAAAAGCTGTGAACAGCAACATCAGACACCAAAGGGCCATTCCTGGGTTGTCCTTACCCAAGAAAATGATGGAGGCAAGATAACACAAGATTTTTAAAAAGATACACTAAAATGAAAATCTCTAAGAGAAAAATGTCTTGCTTAGCACATGACAGGATAATATATGGGCTACAACAGAACCGTATGTATGCTATCTGCGACCTCTTCGGACATTTGCCTAAATTCCCACCTGGGAGTGAATGAAGTAATGGGGCTAAGGTCACTGGAGGATGTGTGTGGTTTTTGTGGTACATGTGGCAGTGTCTCTGGGGTTGGGGAATTTAAGAATGAAAACACAAATAGAACAGGATAAACAGAATGGAATGATCAAGATTAATGGGGGCTCTCACTGCATCCAGTTTGCCACTGTTCCCCCACCCCCAGGCCTTCAATAATCAGGAGACTTCAGGAATGCACCACACAGACATGATTAATCAATATACCACACAGAAATTATTTGTTAAATATCGCCCCTCCCTTGCCCTCTGTTTCCAGCATACTCCCTAGAGTAGTACAGACAGGGAAGACCTAACTATTAGGGGGAAACCCTAACACTTTTCCAGGGTAGAATTCTGGCTTGTCCAAAAAGGGTCCTTTTCTTAAGGGTTTTGGGAAACTAGACACAGCAATTTTATTAGTATCGGCGATGTTTTTTTGGAGCAAATTCAGCTCCAGGAGCTGCACGGTTGAATGCAGGAGGGGTTCCACCAATTGCCCCTGTTCCTTCCATTGGAGCAGCTTGGCCAAAGCGTTCGGTAGTTGGTGGGGTCAATCCCAAGGTTCCATCTGGCATCACAGTGGCAGGTCCTGGAAGAGCTGGGGTACCAGCAGGCACAGGAGCAGGGGCATGGCACTTCTGTTGTTTATGCCCATAGCACCTCCCATAGCCATCTGGCCCATCCGTATCTCCTGCTCTCTCGCATAGGGGAAGGTCCCCTTGAATCCTTCTTGCTGTTGCAGCACCATTTCTTCCTGCTGTCGCCGCATCTCTTCCTCAGGGCGCCTGCGCTCTTCCTCCTGTCAGAGCTCCAGTTGCTTTCATTTTTGCACTTCTTGGTTGTGCAGCTCTTCCATCCTCTGAAGTTCTTCTTGACGCCTCATCAAATCCTGCCTCATTAGCATGACCTGGTGCTCATGGCGAGCAGCCTCCATCTCCATCTCCAGTTTCTCAGGAGCTTCCTTGATGTTGCGGTCCACTTGGTCCTGCTGCTGTGTCTCCATGTCAGTGAGTGCCTTCCAGAGCATGGCATAGTCACACTCAAAGGAGCCAGGCTGTGCAAATCTAGGTGGCTGTTCCCGCTCCTTGTGAAATTGCTGGCTATTTATTTACTTATTATTTATTTATTTTAATTTTTTTTAATTTTAAATATATCTTTATTGATTTCAGAGAGAGGAAAGGAGAGGGGGAGACAGAAACATCAATGATGAGAGTCATTGATTGAGCCTGCAACCCGGGCATGTGCCCTGACTGGGAATGGAACCCGGATTGCCTGGATCCTAGGTGGATGCTCAACCGCTGAGCCACGCCCCGCCGGGCGCTGGTTCTTTATAACCAGCTTCTCTGGAAGTCCTTCTTCATCATCTAACTGGTCCATGGGTTCCACAGTCACAGGCCGAGGAAATGTGGTTAGCAGGAAGGAGCCTTCACTGCATCTGTCCAGAGCTTTCCGAGCAGCTGGCTTCCCTGAGAATTCAACAATGCCTTTTCCTGAGGGCCTTCCTGGATCATCCACAATGACTATGGCCCTCTCCACCTGGCCGAAGACAGAAAAAGCTTCCTCCAGCAGTTCGTTGGACACATACTGAGGAAGGTTTCCGACCGTAAGGGATGCACTATGGCAGGCAAAGCACACCCACAGCTGCTTTCCACGGAGTGGCATGTTGTCCAGCTCCACTTTAGCAATCTCTGCTAGGGTCCGTGTTTCCAAGTGGATAAAGCCAAAGCCCTTATCCTTATGAATGAAGACTTCGCCTGCCTTCCCATATTTCTCAAATAGTTTCCTCATTTCTTCCTGGGTGATGTCAGGAGGAAGATTGCCCACAAAGAGCCTGCTACTTTGGGTGAAGGTCTTCTCTTCTGGTTTCCTAAAATTCTTCAGGTCAATAGTTAAGCCTTCATTTTGGCTGCTAGCTTGTTGCCCATTTGCAGGTATTGGTGGCAGCTGTTGCTGCCGGTGGTGATGCTGATGATGCTTTCTTGGAGCATGATTTTGCTTCTCCAAGCTAAAGGTTTTATTGCTCTGCATTTTTTGTATCCCTCTACCAACTGTTCTCAAAGTAATGGCGACACTACATGGCCTCTATCATCCCAAGAAAAAAAAAGCTCCAGTAAGTTTTTTCTTTCTTTCTTGATCTTATTGGTAACACATTCATTGTTTAATAACATTTTACTTAGCCTTCGTGTGTTTGAATGTGTTTGAATGTTTTTGAGTGTTTTTACTGTAGTTGGTTTCTAATTTCATGCCCTTGTGATCAGAGATGCTTGATATGATTTCATTCTTCTTGACCTTGTAGAGACTTGTTTTGTGTCCTAACATGTGATCTATCTTTGAGAATGACCCATGTGAATTGAGAGGAATGTATATTCGGCAGCTTTGGGATGAAATGTTTTGTAAATATCAATACATCTGATCTAGTGTGCCATTTAGTAACCGTTTCTGTGTTGACTTTTTGTCTGGAAGATCTATGCAGTGAAGTCTGTGGGGTGTTAAAGTCCAAAACTATGACTGTATTGCTATTGATCTCTACCTACAAGTCTTTAAGGTTATTATTGATAGGTCCTTATTTATTGCCATTTTAATTCTTTCTGCCTCTGTTTCTCTCTCTATTTCTTCTTATTATTACAGCAAGCCCTTTACAATTTATTGCAATGCTTCTATTTCTACTTCTAATTACAACAGTCCCTTTAACATTTCCTGCAAAGCTGGTTTGGTGGTGATAAACTCCTTTAGCTTTTTTTGGTCTGGGAAGCTCTTTATTTCACCATCTATTTTGAATGATAGCCTTGCTGGATAGAGTAGTTTTGGTTTCAGGTTCTTGTTTTGCAATACCTTGAATATGTCATGCGATTCCCTTTTGGCCTGTAGTCTCTAACTAGAAGTCAGCTAACAGCTTTATGGGAGTTCCTTTGTAGGTAACAGATTGCTTTTCTCTTGTTGCCTTTAATATTCTCTCTTTGTCTTGAATTTTTGGCATTTTAATTATGATGTGTCTGGGCACGGTCCTCTTTGGATTCTTCTTGCTTGGAATTCTCTGTGCCTCCTGAACTTGTGTGATGTTTCCTTTCATCAGGTTAGGGAAGTTTTCTGCCATTATTTCTTCAGACAGGTTCTCTAATCCTTACTTATTTTTGACCTTCTCTGACACTCCTATGATGCGAATATTGTTACATTTCATGTTGTCCCACAGCTCCTTTAGACTGCCCTCCTGTTCTTTAATTGTTCTTTTCTCTTTGGGTCTCTGATTGAGTGATTTTTTTTTTTTTACTTTGTCTTCTAATTCCTTGATCTGATCCTCAGCTTCTTCTAATCTGCTGTTTATTCCTTCCAACGTATTCTTTATTTCTGCGATGTCATTCTTAACTTCTTTCATAGTTTCCTTATTTTTTTTTATGCTGTTGAGCATCTATACAATCAATATTCTGAACTCTATATTTGATAGATTGCTTATCTCTATTTCATTTAGCTCTTTTTCTGGAGACCCCTCTTATTCTTTCATTTGGGGCTTGTTTTTTTTCTCCCCATTTTAGCTGCCTATTCGTGTTTGTTTCTATGTATTAGGTAGGCCTGCTAGTACTCTTAGTTTTTTTGAACACTCTGGTACAGGCTAATGTGAGATGCAGTTTGTGACTGGCCTTGAGTACCCTGTTTGGTGCTATCAACAATCCTAGGCTTGTGGTCCTCTCTGTTAGGGCTGAGTGCATTTATACAGGACCAAGATGCACACCAAAGTTTGCTTTTCCAAGGACCAGGTCCAGAAGCAGATCAGACAAAGTCTCAAAGCACTCTGAGGTCTGCTTCTGCCTGAAGGTTGAATAATATGATTCTCTTAATGAGCCTCAGGCTGTAGAAACTCCACAGGGTGGGACAGCTGGTTGTTATCAGTGACTTAAAGAGCCTCAGGCTGTAGAAACTCCTCTGGATAGGTCATGGGGTTTTCTAACAAGTGGAACAATTGCTTCTGCCTGACGCAATAACCGCTTTGAAGGTAAATACCTGCCTCTGCAGTATGGAGGAATTACTCAGCCCATTAGTCCAGAGGGATGCATTCTGGGCTCTAGCTCTAGAACCCTCAGCCCTAGATTCTCCTCAAACAGCTCCGATCTACTCTGCCTTCCCTCTGCTGGAGCCCAAGGTGAGTGATTGCAACAAACTTTGTTTGTTGGCTCTTTAAGAGGAGGCCTGCATTTCTAGCAGTCTCTCCGTGGCTGACAGAAACCCTGCTTCTTTTCACAGCCAGTTGTTATGGGGGCACCTTTCTCAGTTCTGGTGCTCTTGGCTAGAAAGCCCAGCCTGGGGTTTAGGCCCCAGAGTCCTAAGTGGGAACCACCCACCTCCAGCTGAGATATCCCCCTGGACCTTCAGCTGCTGCCTGTGGGAGCCCAGCCAGCACTCTTGTGCTTCCGTACTTCTTACTAGCCTCTATGTGGTCTCCACTTTTCCTCCTTTGTTATGAGGGTGCTCTCCAGCTTGTCTTCAGTTGCAGTTGATTATTCAGGATGGTTTTTCTATATTTTATTTGTAATTCCAGTTTGGTTCCAGGAGAGTGTCAGTGTAGCTTCCACTCAGTCCACCAGCCACCATCTTTAATCTAGCATGATGTTTTTAAAGTTGTCAAGTTCTTTCTAAAATTTATATAGAGCCCAGCTGGGCATGGCTCAATGGTTGAGCATCGGCCTAGGATCCAGGTGATCAGGGTTCGATTCCAGGTCAGGGCACATGCCCCGGTTGGGGCTGCAGCAGATCAATGACTCTCTCATCATTGATGTTTCTATCTCTCTCTCTCCCTCTCCCTTCCTCTCTCTGAAATCAATAAAGATATATTAAAAAAAAAAAAGTTTAAAAAATTATAAAAAATAAAATAAAATAAAATTTATATAGAAAATTTAAGGAAGTAGCCAAAACAGTTTTGATAACAGAAGTAAAAAATTGGAGTGCACATACTTGTGAATTTTTATAAAGCCAAAATAATTTTGTCACTCTGCTACTAATGAAAGACTAAACAATGGGTATCACTTCACACCTGTCAGAATGGCTACCATCAACAATCAATGAACAACAATTGTTGGTGAGGATGTGGAGGAAAGGGAACCTTAGTACACTGCTTGTAGGAATGCAGACTGGTGTAGCCACTATGGAATACAGTATAGAATTTCCTCAAAAAATTAAAATTTGAACCCCCATTTTACCCAGTGATCTCACTTCTAGGAATATATCCAAAAAAACCTCAAACATCAATCAGAAAGAACTTAATCACCCTTATGCCCATAGCAGAGAATTTTACAATAGCTAAGATCTGGAAACAGCCCAAGTGCCCATCAGTAGATGAATGGATAAAAAAGCTATGGTACATTTTCACCATAGACTATTATGCAGCTGTAAAAAGAGAAGGATCTTTTAACCTTTGGGGCAGCATGAATGGAACTGGAGTGAATTATGCTAAGCGAAACAAGCCAGTCAGAGAAAGACAAGTACCACATGATCTCACTCATAATTGGAATCTAATGAACAAAATAAAATGATGAACAAAATAGATTCAAAGACATAGAAGCATGGAACAGACTGAGGGATCTCAGAGGGAAGTCAACAGTAGAGGAGTGGGTGGGGAGAGATTAATCAAAGAAATTATATGCTTATATGCATAACTTATGGACACAGACATTGGTATGGTGAAGACCTGGGGGTGAGGTTGATCCTGGGTGCATGGGAGCAATGGGAGGAAAAAAGGGGGCATCTGTAATACTTTGAACAGTAAATATAAATTAAAAAAAAAAGAATGCTGTGCTCTTTGTCTCTCAACAGCCATGTCATGTGCATGCAAGGAAGCCAAGAATGCAGGTTTTCTTGATGATTTGGGTTTTAATTTTGTTTTTATTTTGCCTGATAAAATACAGTTATCCAATGGTTCCTCACTTATGTTATTTTAATAAAATAAAATTTCAAAAAAAGACTAAGAAATGAAACAGAATGGAGAATCCAGAAGTTATCTTATAAAATATAATGAAAAATTGATTTTCAATAAAGTTGGAAGTACAAATCAATAGAGAAAGTATAATCTTTCAACAAGTGGTGCTATAACTATTGGATTTCCATATGCAAGAAAATAAATCTAGACCTTGACATTACACTTTCTACTAAAATTAACTCAAAATACAATATTAAATGCATGATCCATGAAAGAAGCCATTGATAAGCTGTACTTTATTAAAATTAAAAAAACTTCTTTGTGAAAAACACTATCAAGAGAAATAGAAGACAAGCCACAGACTGAGATAAAATATTCACAAAATATTTATTTGATGGACTGTTATATACAAAATACACAAAGTACTCTTAAAACTCAACAACAGGAAAATAAATAACCTAACTTTAAAATGAGCCATTTGTAACAAGTATACCACTCTGGTGTGGGATGTTAATAATGTGAGAGGCTATGTATATGAAGGTTACAGGTGTATGGGGGGAATCTCTACCTTTTGCTCAATATTTCTGTGTACCTAAAAGTGCTCCAAAACTAAGTCTATAAAGAAAAAAAAGAACCTCAAAATTGATCATTGCTCAAAATATATATCCCTAAACAGTAAAACTTCTAAAAGAAAATATATAAGAAAATAATATTTTATTTTCTGGGGTAATATTTATTATTAATTAATTTATATATAAATGGTATACAATACTATATTAGTTTCAGGTGTACAGTATAGTGACTTGACATTTTTCTGCCTTACAGTGTAATCACCCCACTAATTTTAGTAATCATCTGTCACCATGTAAACCTATCACAATATTATTGACTATTCCTCTTCAAATTTTTCACCCCCACCCCACTTCCTTCCCCTTTGGCAACCATAATTTCTTTATTTCTGTAAGTCTGTTTCTGTTTTGTTTGTTTTTGTATATTCCACCTGTAAGTGAAACCATACAGTGGTTGTCTTTGTCTGACATTTTACTTAGCAAAATATCCTTTAGGTTCATCCATGTTGTCTCAAATGGTAAGACTGAATTTTTTTATTGTTGCATAGTATTCCATTATATATTAT